AAGATTAAGGCCACGGGGTCGGAGACGCGAACCGCGGTCGACTACGTGGGAGTCCAGCGACATAGCCATTACGCTAACTGCTGGTTCCCTAAATTACTGAGTCTTGAGAGTTATGTATTTATTCTGGACATGAGTCACTGTAAGTATTTTCTGCTAGTCTGTGGCTTATCTCCTCAGTCTCTTAACCATGTCTTTTTGTTTGTTTGTTTTATTATCATCATAATCTTGTTTATATTACATTGCATTGCATATAACTTTAAAGTGTATTACATTACTTTTTCAAAAGGGAATGCCATGCATGTCAGTCAGTACAGAGACATTAATCTCCCCACTTCATCATTCAATATCTTTTCAATGTTTTTCCCAATCATTATTATTCTAATTATTTTTTAATAGTCACTTCACTGTGTTTATGTCCTCCGAATTTTTGCTCTCTATTATAGAGTGCGGATAGTCGGTATATATTGAGTGGATACATACAATATCTTTCTTTCATAGCCTGGCTTACTTCACTCAGCAATAGATCCTCCGTATCTGACCATTTTCTATCAAATTCCAGGGTCTTGTTATTTTTTATGGCTGAGTAGTATTCCATAGAGTATATATACCACACTTTTCCAATCCATTCATCAGTTTGTGGACATTTAGGTTGGTTCCATGTCTTGGCAATTGTGAATAATGCTGCAATAAACATTGATGTGCAAGCACTTTTCTGACTGAGCGTTCTCCTGTCTTTTGGGTAAATACCCAGAAGTGGGATTGCTGGATCAAATGGTAGTTCTATTTGTAGATCTTTGAGGAACCTCCATATTGTTCTCCACAGTGGTTGAACCAGTTTACATTCCCACCAACAGTATAGGAGGGTTCCCTTTTCACCACATCCCCGCCAACACTTACCACTTTTTATATTCTTAATCTGCCATTCTGACAGGGGTTAGGTGGTATCTCATTATGGTTTTTATGTGCATCTCTCTTATGATGAGGGATGTTGAGCATTTCCTCATATGCTTTTTGGCTGTTTGTATGTCTTCCTTAGAGAGATTTTTGTTTAGCTCATTTTCCCATCTTTTAATTGGGTTAATCTTTTTTTTTTTGTATAAGGCACTTGAGCCTGTGAATTCTGGCTATCAGTCCCTTGTCAGAGGCATATTTAACAAAAATATTTTTCCATTCTGAGGGTTGTTGGTTCACACTTGTTACTGTGTCCTTTGCTGTGCAGAAACGTCTTAGTCTGATATAGTCCCACTTGTCTATTTTAGGGATTATTGCCTGTGCTTTGCGAATCTTATTAGCCATGTCTTTCAAAGTTGTTCTGACCATTGTAGTCTGTGCATTTCCATACGAATTTTAGAATCAGATGACCCAATTCTACAAAACAGTTTGCTAAGATTTTGACTGGAACTGCATTGACTCTATGAATCACTGAAGACAGATGGAGGTTTTAATGATATTGAGTTTTATTTTTTATTTTATTTTTTTTTTTTTAATTTTTGGAGAGATTTTCACCGTAGGGCGCGTGCGCTCACCAGACAGACAGAGAGAGACATAGAGACAGAAAGCGAGAAATCACCCTCCAGGGGGGATGGTCACGCCGCAATCCCTTCTCCTCCATTCTCCTCTCGGGATCTTGGGCACGCACGCACACGCGCCTGGCGTGAGTTTTAAGCCACCGGGTCCGGGACTCAAACCGCGGTCAGCTACGTGGGAGTCCAGCGACATAGCCATTACACTAACTGCTGGTTCCCTTATTTTTTTTTTACTTAATAAGTATGGCACATTTCTTCATTTACTTAGGCTCCTCCCATCCTTGTTAAATTTTTTTTTTCCCATAGGGTACCTGCGCTCACCAGAGAGGAGAAAGACAAAGTTAGAAATCACCCTTTTCCCCCAGTGGGGGAGGGTGGCCAACCACAATCCCTTCTCCATTCTCTTTTCAGGATTTAGGGCATGCACGCACAAGTACCCAGTGTGATTTTCAAATCACTGGGTCCAGCACTCAAACCACAGTCAGTCAAATGGGAATCCAGTCACCTTAACAACCATGCCACCTGCTGGCACCAGACTTTCTTTAATTTTATTCTCCCAGCACTGTTTTCAGTTCAGCAATGTAACCATTATGCAATCTGCCGATCTCATGACCATTTTACTTTATTCTTGCATTGGATAGTACACATTATTACCATTATCATCACAGTATATACAATAAGGGCCACAGATATGACCTAAAGATCTCTGGAATATTTTAACTCAAATGATGAGAACAGTAGAGTACCTACTGACAACAGAGTAACTTTTTTTTTAGAATTATTTAATTTTATTCATTATCATTATTTTAAAATTATTACTGTTTATTTTATTGAAGTTGACCAAGAGAAAGAAAGAGAGAAAGCAAGTTGCCAGGTCGGGAACTCAAACCACAGTCAGCCACGTGGGAGTCCAGTTGCCCCAACCACCATGCCACTTGCCAGCCCCCAGT